TAATGAAACTTTGATGATATGCAAAACAATGTTACGGCTCAAATTCAAACAGATAGCTTCATAGAGTTACTAGCAATGAGAAAAATAAAAATGGATAGAATAATATGAAAGAATAAAACTTGGTAAACTGAATTGAAATGCCAATCACATCATGATTATATCCGTTTATCTCAGATTTTGCAAATTCCGTTAATCGTTTTTCTGGAAAATACTGGAAATATTTCACTTGTCCAGTTTAACAAATGTCACATCACAGCGAAAAGGAATGCTTAATCATAAATGTTCAAATAACGTAACTCGCTATTTTCCACAGGGACCCATACTACATTTAACAAATCTCCTCAATAATTATCATAAATTTGAACAAATTTTTTGGAATATATTACACAACAAATATTTAAGATTAAATAATAAACAATAATCGTTCATCAGAAAAAATTGATTTACATTATAATTGGATCAGAGTACTTCAGTGAATTAGAATTCTATGCTTGTTCAGCCTTTTAAATTGCACTTACTTTAATTTCGCCATCGCAAACGTCAAATAACTCCTGAGAGCATGCCAGTTTGCTGATAAAGTTACGTATAAACAACATTTGGAATGAAGAAAGAAGAAACGAAAAAAAGGAAGGAAGGAGACCTGGAAAGAAGAGGACGGAGGGTCGTACGGACAAGGACGTCGGGAACGAGTAGCGGGGAGGTTGAAATATTTGCAAAATGATATGTAGAAATGAAGAAAAACTGTCTAAGAATTTATTCAATAGATTTTATCACATTTTTGTGAAAAATTAGTGAGAATTGTAAGCGGCGTTCTTCCATGCGGGCATTGCAGCAAAGAATGAAAAGAGTGGCTAAGCACGGTGAAGTAGAAGAATGGGAGCAAAACCCAGTGAGGCTTGAAATATTTGAAAAAATTTTGAATTCAAAGAACAATTCTTTGCTTACCAACAAAACTTAAGTTCTTTCGGTCAATCTTGAAGTGATGGAATGGAATTTATGAAAAGTTTTTCATTCAAAAAATTAATATATTTCAAAATATGTTTTAAAAACTAATAATTTTAACTATTTGCATGTTATAGACTATAATTTTTACCTGAAGATCAGAGGGAAAGCTTATTTAACTGAGCTTCAGATACGCAATCATTATTTCTTTTTCGCCTTTATGTATTATGATAATTCAATCGATGATAACATTTTATGATTATTTAACAAAAAAAAAAAAAAAAAGGAAATTTTATAAAATAGAAACAACAAGAAAAAAAGCAAATGAATCGATGAAAGCATTGCAGAAACCTAACATAATTATATTCGAATGAGCAAGTTATTACTCCGAAATACTACCAAGTACTAATCTCGACATTTTAGTTACTAGAGCGACAATTGTAAAAAATACTGATTCTATAATGTTGTTGCAATGATTTGAAAACGTATGGAATGCCAAGGATTATTATACTGTAAATTGCGATGACAAAAGAAGTGAGAAAGAACAAGAATAATAATTAGTAGTAATAACAATAATTAATAATAATAATAAATAATACATGATAATGATCAATATAAGCAATGGTAACAATTAATAATAATAAGTTAATCAATTAATCAATTAAGTAAAATAAAGAAAAATAAAATAAATAAAGTACTAACAGCACAACAAAGTTCGTTCGGTATTATGAAGCTAAACAACGGAACAAATGTCCCTCGATATATCAATAGCGATACATCAACCATAAGGAAGAGGAAAGAGTAGTGGAGAAATTTGAAACATATTTCGAGTCAAAGTCAAACATTTCAAACACTTCATTTAAAAGCATATAGATCAAAAGATGAAGGTTGGAATTGAAGAATTACTGACAATCTAAGGAATAATCGATTTGTTAAATGATTAGCATTCCAACTGTTTGGTTGATTTGGTAAAGGAATTCATAGAAGAGCCTTGGTGTAGATGGCTGTGCTATTAGCTTAGATCGAAACGTAAAGTAGTATCTCCTCCCTCACTCACTTCACGTCCTCTTTCTGTTCTCTTGACCGATGGATCTAGTTAGTTGCTACAATTTTTCGCAAATATCTTAACATCCAACTTACGATTTCCTGGTAGCGCATTCACGAGCTAAGTTTATGACCAAATCATTAATGGTTTGCTTTCCGAATTTCCCACTATTTTTATTCCATATTGCTAGAATTAAAAAGTTGAGGTTTATGACATTTGTTTTTCTTTTAATCTAATACATTCCTGGGACTTTTAGTAAATGTGTTTATGTTTTTGATTTTCTCGATCTTAAGATTCTTGAAAAATTTTTTATTTCCGTTTCATCTCGTCATCCTTTTCTCTCTCAGTGTGTTAACATCATCCACAACCGTTCTTTATCTTTTGAAAGTTTGAAAAAAAAAAAACTCTGAAGCAAACTTGACAGTTTCTGAAAGTTCTCTACGTATTCACGTTTTAGCACTTCAAATATGTATAACTTTGAACAAAATGATTTCGCAGTTGGCTGAAGGCTTGTCCAGGTCCTTAAATTTTTGCATCTAATGTGCTTATTTTGAAAGCTGTGCTTCAATTCTTCAGACAGAGAGAGAGAGAGAGAGAGAGAGAGATTTTCGAAGAATTCAAGCAAAGCTCTAAAAAGGTTTAATTCAAGCCAGATGTTTATTGCTTTCATAACTAGCTATTGTTTTATTCCATATCATTTAACAAGCTTATCACAGCACTACATTACCAATCTACACTCGATGAAGATGATGTCCTTGTACCTTTTGAATTAGTTTAGTATTGACATGAAACATAAGGAGAAGATAAAGTTATTCAGAAAATGAAATTTTTAATGAAATATTTTGAAACAAAAAAAAAAAAAAAAAAAAAAAAAAGAAAAAGCATCAAACAAAATGCAATATGGTACGATGAATATTTGTGTTTAGAAATTTTTTTTTTACAATTTTAAGCTTTAAAAATAACTCATGAAGCGTTTATTATCAATTCAAATTTTCTAAAATAAAGATTAGTTGGAAAAATAAAAAAGATTCGTGATTTTTGTAACATTGTATATCAAATAATATAATTCTTTAAAAATTCAAATATTCCATTCGTCATTCTCGATACAAAGTATGCAGTGCTATCATTTAATAAAAGCTAAGCTTATCCAACATTTTCCTGACAGTATGATAATAAGAAATTTATAAAACGAATCAAATTTTGAAGTCGAAAAAAAAAAAAAAGGTTTTCCCGACAGAATATCTTGACATCTTCGCGTTTGCGCGTTTGAAGTAAGTACACATATAAAATGATGATATTTCTTGAAACTTTTGAGAAATTTCTGTAAGGTCGAGTTATATGATAAAGAGCACACATGCATAGACACACACACACACACATATATATATATATATATACACACACGCACACAGACACAGACACACACAAAGAGAGCAACTGACTCCTCCATTGCATTTTAAAACGAACATTTAATTGAGTAAAAGCTAAGCTTATTTAACGTTTTCCTTACAATTTCTGGTTGAAATTTAAAAAATGAGGAACCCAGCGAACATATAATGAATGAACACTCTGTCATTTTTTCTTTTTTTTTTTTTTCTAATAAAAAACTAATTTCAGTAAAGCGTAAAGCCTTAACGAATAAATTACCACTGGATGAAATCAATTATTGCATGCAATTTGTTTCAGCTTTTTGGCTTAAGCAAATGTAATTTACTGATCTTATAGTATTTGAATAAGCCCACCTATGTTCTGTAGGCTAAATATGAATTCCACAAACAATTTCTTCCTTATCCATTATGCATGGAATTTTATTCAATGAGATTTCTACTTCCTGGCCCCTTTTTTTCTTTTTTTTTTTTTTTAATCCAGAAAGTTGAAGCATGTAATTATGATATTATGAATACTCATCATGCATATGAAGAGTTTACAGAGAATTTTTATTTCTACCAAAAAAAAGGAATAATTGGCTATAAAAAGAACAAAAAAAAAAAATAAAATAAGTCTTAAAAAGATGCAAAAATGGGCTTTTTTCTTTTCTTGTTGAAATTTTGCTTTTTCAATAGAAAGCATTATATAGTGGGCACTTCTTTGGTATCTTTCAGTGATTTGTGCTTTATTCACTGAAAAAAAAATTGAATGGTCGAAAAAGGAAGCAATTTCTCACTTATCATTTCCACTTTGATATATCATAATTCATTTTCCTTTTTTTTTTTTTCCGGAAAGAAAAACTTTGCTCAATCAGAAATGTTATTGTATTCTAGAAGTTGATCTTTTCTGTTATATGATACTTCTAAGCATTTTTAGAAGCACTGATTTACATTGAAGGAATGTAATCGTACTGTAGCTGCATATTTTTATGATCACATTGAACGGTAATTTGTTTATACTAATAAATTCAAAGTTTAATTGTTATATACCTAGGATGAAAGTTAACTTTTCATGAAATGGAATATTCCCATGCAAAATGGTAGCATTAAAATGAAAACATAAAATATTTTTTAATGGAAATCCGATCAAAACGATTGAAATCCACACACTTTTTTTTTTTTGAAATAAATATCTATCAATAAAACACGTTGCATAACATTAAAAAAAATAATAGTAAGTGATATCACCAATGCAGCATTTTTAACAAGGAAATTAATTTAAAATGGTTGACATTACAAGGGCGACACAAAAAAATCTTTGTTGGAAAATAAATTAAAAAGTCAAAATTTGTTCGAATATTAAATTAGATGTTGGCCAAAATCTTATATAATTCGAAATCAGATTTTTATTTCTTATTTTTATGTTTTTTTTTTTGTCTTTTTTTGGTAAAAAATCTTGCTATAATGTTTTATTATAAAAAAAGAAAAAGCAAAAAAGGAGAAATAATGACAAAAATATGATTGTTATAAGTTTGTAATGGACTGGGTCCCAAGCCTCTTGTGATAAGTTGATGTTAACTTAGGTTTAATGTCTTATGTGCAATTAAGTCTGGTATAGAACACATATTTTGTCACATATCTGACAATTATGATATTACTGGAATTAAATAATTCATCTTAACAGGTATGTTGAAGCTTAATCCATATGTCTTCGTTAAAATACATTGTATAAGACGAAAGTAATAATTTCGTCGGTAGAATTTTCTTTTTTTTTTTTTGCATTGATCTTCGAATACGTAATAGAAATTTGCTTCCTCTATAGTACGATTGCGTAAGATAGTTGTAAAATATTGGAAGTCTGTAATGAAATCAATAAGATTACGATGTAGTGTTAACTTATTTGCTATGTTATTAATGAAAATAATGATAAGAGATAGAAAGTTAAGGTAAAAGAAATTAGAAAAAATATTCTATTACAGAAAAACTTTGTTAATTTAATAACTCGACTATCAGAAAAATATTAAAATATTGAAGCTTTATTGCTAATTAGTAGCAATCTCGAGATAGGTGATTAAGGTCAGAAATCAGAACGAAATTAGCTTACTACTACGTTTTATTTTAAATTATCTGGAGGAAAACATTATCATGCAACTAATGTAAACACCACATTATCAATTAAGGGTTTGGATAGGTAGTGAAGAACAGAGATAGACAGAGATTATCTTTATCAATTATCCATATCATTTTACTACATTACTAGTAGTGGGTAGATGAAAAAACGGAATAAAATAAAGTAGTAAAATAGTTCAATATTATAGACGATTAATTGAAAAAAAATAACAAATATTATTATTGAGAATACCATTTAAAGTTGGTAACCTTGGAATGAAATATGACGATGCAATTGTTCTTGCGAATGACCACAGAGACGAAGCATTTGTAAATAGCCGTTAGTAATCCTCCATTACTTTTTCAAAATCTAATGAATAATTTGAAGATTCATTATCACAAGAAAAAAAAGCACTAATTAATCAAATTTTTGATTAGACTTTTTGAGTTCGAAAAAAAAGTAAAAACAAATAATAAAATGTACGAGTAAATTCAATAATCATTTCTATAATAGGAGATTTTATACAATTGGCCATTGTAAGAAATTGCAAAAAAAATAGAATGAGAATGAAAACGAAATTTAAGTTTTCAAATATATAAATAATGCTAGAATGAAAGTATTTTTTAAAATTTCATTTTAGCTATTTATCGACCAAATTCCTAGCAATAACTAGATTGACAATGAATAAAAAAAAGACGAAATCCGTTAAAAAGTCACAAAATCCGCTTTCACTTATTTACACATTGTTATTATTCATATTCAAATTTATGTATAGTCTGTTTTACATAGTATTTGTTGCTAACTCATTAAGCAAATAAGCTCTACAATGTTTTATTTAGTTCCTTTATCATCACTAATTTATTTATTTGTTATACTTATTTGTCACCCAAAAAAATTTATTCAACATTCTTGCGACACATTCCCTATTGTGATATAATTGTGATATTGTAATATAAATTATATATAGTGACATCATATTAAGCTTACAACTTTCAATGTCACAATTTTTCTCTCCAAATTATTACCTCTCAAGAACATATTGCGTTTTAGGAGAGATTATGAAGTAGGGAAATGTCGCCTCAAATTATTTTTTGATAATTACCAAAGAAAATGGTAATTTGCTGCTAACAATGACTTAATAATATCTCATTTATTTCATTGAAATTATCAGATAATAAAACAAATGCGATATTTTCATGGTATAATTTTACAAATATTCGCGCAAATCTTGTATCTTTTACATCCAGAATTCTTGTTGAGCTTAAATATTGCTGCTTTAGACTACTTTTTTTTGAAAGCAATCATAAAATTTGAAAAAAGCGTTTAGTTTATTTCACTACCTTAATTTGGCAGATTTTAAATCAGGGCAAATGTGTAAGCACAAACTTAACCAAGCAATATTATATCTAATGTTTTTGATAAGTACTTTGAGGTTTGAGGATTTATAATTTAAGATTTCTACCTTTGAAGTTTCAGCAAGCTTTTTATCTGCTGAACTGAAACTAAATTAGGTCAACCTGAGTACCTATTACGAATATATTTATATAAAGATATATATATATATATGGTTTGCATTATTTGACAACAACAACGAAAAAGCAACAGTTGTATCAATGTTAGATCACTTAATCAATTTTTTAAGTACATCTTTTAATGAGAATTATGAGGTCTTTTCGAGCCATCTGTATAATTCAGCTCACCCATGGGCATACCCAGTTTACTGTCCAATTCATTTATCTCATCGGGAATATAACTTCGTTCTATTTCAAAACGCGGTTGTTCACTGCAAATAGATGGTTTGTCACATAAGAATTATAGTTAATTGGTTGGCCATAAAAAGTTTAAAATTATTAATTGCTTAAATCATACGGTTTATAAACCATATCGTGCTGGAAATTATTGACCTGTTTCTGGGTGAATACCTTAAGATATGCATTTTTAGCCTTAATAATTGTCGCTTCATCGCATTTTGTACTTCACCATTCAAAAAGCAGTATAATACAGCAATAAATATGCCCTTTAAAACGCAACTTTTTGTTAATTAAAAAATATGGATTATTTGCAAACCTAAAATAAGCAAAAATATCTATAAGTAGAATATGGCCGAATTGGTTTTTAGTCCTAGGATGATTCTAACATAACTTTTCAGTGAATATGACCATTTTCGATCATATCATTAATTTGGCAAACTAGTTGAAAACAACCTGAGAATGCTGCAAAATAGCAGAGCCAAGCATATAGACACTGCTGGGCTGTGATGGCTCGTAGAATAAAGGTATATTGGAAACACCTAAAAGTGGCACTAGTAGAAGTGTCGACTTCACCGTCCTCCTGAAATAGTATTAAATCGGTATCAATGGCAAGATGCATAATTTATTACCTTGAGATTGATTCTCGGTTAAATAGTTCAGTAAAATAAAGTAGTTTTAGAAAAGTGACGGTAAATACAGATGGTAATTAGAAAGTACAGAGGTCCAAAATAAAAAAAGGATAGAAGTGTAGGAACTCTAAAAAAATTCGAAAGTTGATAGCTCATTCTAACACGAAATAGTATTAAATATTTCAGTATAATTCATGAAATCTCTAATAAAATTCGCATCAAAGTTCATAAGATAGCAAAATATTGGTTATGAAACGAATAACCATATTTTCTTCGATTCAGCAGTATTTTCAGCGCGCAATTTCTGCACCAATATGAGAACAATACCCAACAGAAACAATAAATTCAACTGGAAAGAAATGAATAAAGGCAAAATGGACTATTCAATTAATTTGCTTAATTTCCCGATTTCTTTTTTTGAATTATATTTTCTTGATCGGCAAAGCTCTACTCTAATGAGTTTTGCGGACCAAGAAAGTATAAGTTTTCTGGTAAAAAGAAATGCTTCTTGTAATAAAAAATGAAATTTCAGTTAGTAATGGAAACTAAAACAAATTTTAATTTTACTTTATTTAACTTTCATCTAGTTCAACTGCTGATAAAAAAGAAGAAGTAACTGAGAATGATGAACAATTTGCGGCAAATGCAAGAATGTTTCAGCATAATTCATAAATCCTTCGCAATGAAATCTTTGTGTTATTATTAGTTTTAGCTCTTTAAATTGTTATATGCTTTAAAAAATTTTTTTGGTACAATTTCTTACTATTCAAGAATTCGAAATTCTTTTTAACTTCTTTTTGATGACATCTAAAAGGAGATAAATACAAAAATGAAGCAATGTTTTGAATATGAAATATTTAAATGATAATTTTCACAAATATAGCTTAAAAGTATGTTAGCATAAACATTGAAAATAATTCATTTGTAAATAATGAAATGAGGACGAACAATTAGCGCTAAGCCCATCGTTGCGGATAATATCCATAGATGAGCACCTTGTGCATATGGCAACCAACAAAATGAATTTTGATTTTGACTCGATCGTCTTTGATGGATAATGGTCCAACTGACAACAACAACAAATGGTACACCTATAACTTTTATCTTATCGCTTTATTTTTGTTCACTTCATCAATCTTATTCGCTTGAACTATGTAAATGTTATATCATGAAAGTGACTAATTTCATTTATTTTCATAACAGTAATAGTGATAGAAAAGGACGAAAACACTGAGAGGGAACATTAGTGATATTGGATCAATGTTGATTGCTATCAGTATTTGATATCCATTGATATTATCGTCAAGAATTAATAATTTAGTGGATTTGTTTTTCAAACATGCAATGCAAGTGCATGCTTAACATGGACTTTACTATTCAAATTCCTGATGCTAACTGTCAATTTTCAACCGCAGACAATCACTGACTTACCCCAACCACAAAAGAGGAAAGCATAATTGGGAAAATCAATACTTCTCATTGCAAACACGGTGAATCGACTATACAAATAACCACCCTCAATAAGCATCCACATAACCGATGCAACCTGCAAATTCTTTTTTTATTCAAAAATGAAACTGAAATGAAATTAACCACTATAGTGCATATTTTAAAAACATTTAAAATTCAGCGACAGGAAAACTTAAATTGAAAAATTGGTAAATAAAAGTACATCAAACAAGGTGATTAGTTTTGTTTCTCTTTCTTCTGTCTTTATCTACTTTTCATATTTCTGAAACGAGAAATAACACCTAAATATGCTATTTCTCGTTTTAGAAATAATAACATGCTTCTGCACTCCTCTCTAGCTTTTTTTGGAAATGAAAAGAACAGATATCGTTGATTACATTTATCCATGAACTTATTTCATTTATGTCATTTAATGTAAATACAGACCTGAAAGTAAATGACCAACCAAAGCAGCAGCTTACAAATCCATTCCTGAAAATCGATTATTTTAATAAAAGCAACAAAATTATATCATATTATTTAAAAGCTATTAGTTTAGAATCGATCGATATATCTAAGTACTAGCAAAAAAATTCTTTGTCAAAATTGTTTATTCTTTTTTTGTGAAAAGTCATTATTTCAGCATGAAAATATTTCTGAGGCACCTTGTAATGTTTTTAAAAGAATTCTTTGCTAAGATTATGAATAAATGAAAAAGAAAAAAAAAAGGAAAGTGAAATATAAGAACACAGCTAACGTATTCATATAGAGGCATTGAGTTGTAATAAGAGCAATCCTGAAAAAAATTCGTCGTCTGCGCAACTGTCCATAAAGCCAGGACAGTAAAACGAAATACAAAAGAGCTTGCAAGGTTTTTATGAATTGAAAGACGACGACATTGGATGGAGTCTAATATACTAAATAAAATTAGGGCAGTTACCAGCAATGCCACAGAAACAATACTTAATGTTAACGATACATTGATAACCATTTCACGGAGTAAATCTGGACACTGAAAATATTAGAGGAAACTTAGAATAAAATTGCATTTAGAAAAATAGAACTTTGGTAATTAGAAATAACTTTCTAATCTGCAATGAATATTTCAAAATTCTTTTAATAGAATTTTTAGAATTTTGAACGATTTAAAATTGTTTTCTATAAAATCCATTTATAATTTATATGGAACTAATAGTTGAATACCTTCCGCATTCTTTTGTACATTAAACAATTTTCAAATATAATTTACCGTTCTACAGAATCCAACGATGCAGTGAGGATGATACTTTAGAACATCAATACACTGTGCATACATCGGTTCTGCCCAACTACCATTCTCGTTGCAAATACGTTGCACAGTATAGTTATCTTCAACGACTTTACTTTAAGCTTGCAAAACTACGAAAACATTTATTCAAGTATTTGCAGTAAAGTGTCTGAATGCATTTGCGAGAAAATAAAAGTAAAAAATTTTTAGAATTTTGAAAAAAAAAAAAAA